AGATTAGATTCTACCAGTAAAGTTATTGGAGGATCATTAAAATAAAGAAAAGAATTAGAATAGAATTTTAACCACAGCAGGATTGTCGCAATTAGGGATTTGGAGTTTGTTATACATAAGTAGGATTGAAATTTTTAAGTCGGGGGTGTTTTCAGGGGGTAATCGGGTTCGAGTTATTGTAGCATGCTTTTCGATCTTACCTGGGCCGAATTCTGTGTCAAAAACTGTTTTCGCTATATATGATTTGCTAGGCCTTGATAGATGACCTGTGCGCTTTTGTTAGCACGGTTTTGATTGGTTATATGTCAAAAGTAGGGTGTGTTTTCTATGAGCGGAGTCAAGTGAATTTCGATCCTACCTGAGCCGAATTGTGTGTCAAAAAATGTTTGCTATAAATTTTACTAGTCCGTGATAGATGGCCTGTTCGCTTTTCTGTTATTAACATACCTTTGAGGCAGAATTATTTGATACATCTATCGATACGGGGGAGGGGCTTGTTATGTTCGTATTCTATATTGTTAATATCATATGGGTGGGGATGGGAGAGGGATGTGATTGGGCAGGTGACCCCATATATCCCATTTCACGTCTGATCGGGGAACCGAACCCTGGCCGCCTTGGTGAAAAGCAAGTGCACTTTCCACTGCCCCACCCAACCATCCAAATACAATGTACAATGGGTTTTAAAAGGCGAACATTTGGCAACACAAAAACAATACATTTAAGCAGCAAAATCGATTGAGTTAACATTACATGTGAGCACCATGTGTTTCAGTTACTCGTAAATATGATATGTTGAAGTAACTCCTGAACATGTTGTTCAGTAATTTGTGAGTGGAAGGTGATGAGGTTAGCAATGTGTGATGGAGTAGTGTTTGAGAACAAGGACGGTGAAGGACAGTTATACTGGTATGGTTAATGTGAGGAGACAGGTTCACTGCACCAGCAGAATAATCAATTAGCATGGAGCAAAACATCTAACACAGATATTGATGGCTGGGAATGGTTGAAAAACAAATTATAAAAAAATATCACATCTTTTCCAACACTTTTTAAACCATCCCTTTCAACGTTTTAAGCAGTATGCAACACCATGGCCAATAACTGTGAAATTCATATGCTAGAATTTTACTGCTCACAAATAAATCTATATGATAGTTTAAATGGAAGTAAAGAAATCACATCTATTATGGACTTTTGAACAGCAGTATTTGCAGAAAATTTTAGTTAAAATCAATATCACTGAAATGACCAGTCTGACACTGTAACATGAGGGTAGTTTTGGGGAAAACCAAAATTACTATACGATCATGTTCATCTACCGACACTGGACAGACTCTCCCCATGGATGTCCTATTACAACACACTCCTACACACAGCTGTCTCTGATTTATAGTGTAATCTCACTGAACTGCTGATGCCTGGTTTAAGTGTTAGATATGATGATAAGCTACTGAGGACATATATAAGAATGGTGGTTATTTTGTTTATTACCTCTGTTTCTCCGGCCCGCAGATACAGTAACTGTCAACACCAACAATACAGCAAACACATATATGTTCTTCATTCTGAAATAAATAAAATGTATAATGTACACTATATTTCATGTAATAAAACATACTCAGAACAACTACATAAATGCATGTTGTAATTACACTGAGTATGGATGAATTAATGCCATTTTTGTCTGAAAGTTTGTGGAGGGCATGCATTTTGTGTGAGTTGTGAGGTTGTTAGGTAATGCAGGTCAAACGTTTGTGGAGGGCATGCATTTTGTGTGAGTTGTGAGGTTGTTAAGTAATGCAGGTCAAACGCTTGTGGAGGGCATGCATTTTGTGTGAGTTGTGCCATTGTTAGGTAATGCAGGTCAAATGTTTGTGGAGGGCATGCATTTTGTGTGAGTTGTGCGATTGTTAGGTAATGCAGGTCAAACATTTGTGGAGGGCATGCATTTTGTGTGAGTTGTGAGATTGTTAGGTAATGGAAGTCAAACATATGTGGAGGGCATGCATTTTGTGTGAGTTGTGAGATTGTTAGGTAATGCAGGTCAAACGTTTGTGGAGGGCATGCATTTTGTGTGAGTTGTGAGGTTGTTAGGTAATGCAGGTCAAACATTTGTGAAGGGCATGCATTTTGTGTGAGTTGTGCGATTGTAAGGTAATGCAGGTCAAATGTTTGTGGAGGGCATGCATTTTGTGCGAGTTGTGCCATTATTAGCTAATGCAGGTCAAATGTTTGTGGAGGGCATGCATTTTATGTGAGTTGTGAGGTTGTTAGGTAATGCAGGTCAAACGTTTGGAAGATTCTGATTTACTTCAGAATCCCTTGTTACTTATTTTGAAGTTGGCAATTAGATTCCAGTTTAATGTCTGTATTGAGTTTCCCAAGAGTGGATATGGAAGTGTATGTGGAATCTCCATGGAGCCGGATTATCTTTTGTCATTATATACAGATTGAGGCTATTTTAGTACAAGATTGGCCTACTGACATTTTGGAACCAATTTGTACACATGAAGAAGTGTTAATGGTGAAAACTGATTTATTATGACAGGAAACAAGACTGGAAGAAGTCTGCACAGTGCAGTAACTATGTCAGAGTAAGCACTAATACCCTGATCAATGTTCGCAGTTAGACAAACTTCTAGTTTAGAGGATGTTTTCAAGGACCCTTCGACAGATGAGGAGTTAATCTGTAAACTGTGTTTTTAAGAGGAAAAAGTTACGAAAATGCTGGAATGAAATCATCACCATGAACACTTTCGCATCAAATACCTCCATTTCTGAAAACTGTCAATGAAAGATTTTATTCATATAACAATCTGAAAAGACATATTTGAGGCATGTGGAGGCCAAAGTGTATAGATAGTGAAATGTTTCAAAAAGTCACAAAAATAAGAAAAGGACAGTAAATAAAGGAATCGGAGACAGGAGTAGGCATGTTCCAATTACTCTTCAATGTCAAGAAAAATTATCTCAGCAAGGTAAAAGATATTTTACATTACCCTAGCGTAATATCTAGATAAGAAATAATTCAACAAAATATGGTGAGAGAAAAAAGAAATAAAAAGAAACAGCTAAGAGAAAAGAAGAAGAAACCAGGAATTCATATATCAAGCAGTGAAGTCGTCTGTCTTGCCAGGTACAACTGCTCATTTTATGGATGTTTATCTAAATTCTATTCCTGTTGTCAGGTGTATGGAATCATATTGATAAAACCTATCAAGTAAATTGATATCTTAGACATCTATGTTTCTATTTAACACTCTCAAAAATCTTCAGGCAGAAAGCACCCAAATCCCCTTCATGCAAATCTGCATATGATGTATTTTTACTTTGTTAAATAGTTAAAAAGGAGTTGTGCTTACAAGGTTTCTGAAGCAGAAATTAAAAGTTTCAAGGGCTGGAAAAATAGCCAAATCACAAAGTCCATTCTTCAAACACATCCACATATGATGTACTTTTACTTTCCCTGGTTACAAGAAAAAAATACCACAAATATTAAGGAGGAGTTTTGCTTACAAAGTTTTCTTGAGCAGAAATTTAAAGTTTCAAGAGCAGTAATATAACTCCTGGGAGAAAAGTAGAATTGGAAAATTCCCTTCTCCATGTACATCTGCATATGATGTACTTTCAGATGTTAAGTAACATTGAAATTCAGGAGGAGTTACAATTTGGGGGATTTTTTCAATAGTCAGATTTGTCCTTCATGTTTTCCCAGGTTCCTCCAAAGCAGCTATGAGATGTTAACTCTTTAACTACCAAATATGCAGCAAAGCTCTGTTTACAAAATCATAATACAAAGACATGGATTTTGGCATAAATGGTTCACCCTAAAATTTAACTGGGCTGCCGAATTTGTTAAATTATTTGTTTTGTTTTCTTCTACTGATTATTTTTTGAAATGATTTCCCTTTCCTAATTTTGTTTTCTTTTGACTTTTATATTCGAAATGAAATACCTTTTCGTAAAGGTGCGGCCATTTAAATTAAAACAGCCATACGGCATCACAAGCCAGTGATGACGCCGCCGCTATATATAGTCACTCACCTACCTAATCAGTAATCTGTGTCTTTGAAGTTTTATCAAAAATAGTATTTCCTTTTCTTCATTTTGTTGATTTTTCTGTGCTTTTTGAAAATGGCGGATCTAAAGGCTGTGGGGTTAATGATTAGGGTCAACGTGCAAGGAGCCAGAGGGCCCTTTAGCCTGTGACAATTCAACAAATGGGAATCCCCCATTCACTCTGAAGCAGGGGCCCACAGGGGGAAACCCAACTGCGGGGTCCCCAAAGGAATATTATCAAATGAAAACATCTTGTTGTCCAAAAAATCATATATAAATATACTTCTTATTTTTATGTGTTTAATTTTTGAGAATATGAATCTTGTGGAAGAAAACAAAAAAAAATAAGCATATTAGAACAATCCAATTTTCTGTATAATATTGTGATATAAGGTTACCAGATAGTCAAACCTTTGAATTGTAAAAGTTTCTATTTTTAGACAGTACATTAGTTTAAGCAAGCAATGTGGTACATTTTAATTACAACTAACAGCTCATGTTATCTCACCTCAGCACATTTGGTTTAAAGAAACAAATTACAGAACCGGCTTTGACATTTATTGATTTCCTTTCAAAACTAAACTCAGACTAGCAAGTTTAGAATAACATAAATATTACCAGTTGTCGTGAATAAATAGCCCTGAAATAAAATTAAAGGTCACAGAAATTAATTAAATGGATTAAAGGAAAGGAAACAATATCTAATTACTTTATTCCTGGCACGAACTCGTTCTGCCATTGGTAACGGCCATACCATACCAACAGTACCTATAAGATAGCTCCAAGTATAGCTAAGTACAACAGGACCTATAGGATAGCCATGTATAGCTAAGTACAACAGTACCTATAGGATAGCTCCATGTAAAGCTAAGTACAACAGTACCTATAGGATAGCTCCATGTAGACCTAAGTACAACAGGACCTATAGGATAGCTCCATGTATAGCTAAGTACGACAGTACCTATAGGATAGCTCCATGTATAGCTAAGTACAACAGGACCTATAGGATAGCTCCAATTGTATAGCTAAGTACAACAGGACCTATAGGATAGCCCCAATTGTATAGCTAAGTACAACAGGACCTATAGGATAGCCATGTATAGCTAAGTACAACAGTACATATAGGATAGCCATGTATAGCTAAGTACAACAGTACATATAGGATCGCAATGTATAGCTAAGTACAACAGGACCTATAGGATAGCCACGTATACCTAAGTACAACAGTACCTATAGGATAGCTCCGTGTATAGCTAAGTACAACAGTACCTATAGGATAGCTCAATGTATAGCTAAGTACAACAGTACCTATAGGATAGCCATGTATAGCTAAGTACAACAGGACCTATAGGATAGCCATGTATACGTAAGTACAACAGTACCTATAGGATAGCTCCATGTAGACCTAAGTACAACAGGACCTATAGGATAGCTCCATGTATAGCTAAGTACAACAGGGCCTATAGGATAGCCATGTATACCTAAGTACAACAGTACCTATAGGATAGCTCCATGTAGACCTAAGTACAACAGGACCTATAGGATAGCTCCATGTATAGCTAAGTACAACAGGACCTATAGGATAGCTCCATGTAGCTATACCAATGTCAATAGAGTGCATTTTATAAAATTCTTCCTGTATCCCTTCTAAAACAATTACTGTCACAAACGTTTTGAAAGACAATGCATCAACCTCTCCTGTATTGAGCTGGATAAATAATTTCAAGAAAAACAGATTACACTAAAACCAATGTATCATAAAATCTGGGTTTAAGTGCCCGCTGCTGTACCATAGACGTAGTGGAACCTCGAGTTTCAGTTAGAGTACATGTGTTCTGTAAGTTATTTTAACTATTTTACAACCTTTCCAGACTTATATGGTTCTACATGGAACTGAATTGAACAATAAACACACTATAGTGTCTTGCCCATTGAAACATTTCTATACAGAAACTTTCTATACAGAAACAAGTATTATTGAAAACTATCATATTTACATCAATTAACTCACACTTACATTTTTGTTAAACCTTAATAGTTCTATTTCTTTTCTAAAGTCCACTTAACCTGCCCTTTATTAAAAATTGACTGTTTTATTCCTAATGATTTTAATGTTACATAAACAAAACTACAATTAGCCGTCACTTTACTAAAACTATTCATGTCATACACTGTACCTGTGAAAAGTGTAAGTTACCTCCCTTCCAAACAACTCTTGTTATAATTATCTAATAACTTATAACTATCCAGGCATTATAAAATGCATCTTTCTTGTTAAGTGTTCAAATGTGCCATTAATTATTGAATCAGTTCTAAATAATGATACAGATATATTTATTAGGTATCTTGTTGTAGAAGGATATATAATTCTTTATGTTTCAAGAAGGTATACATATATTATTTCAACCACATCCTTCTATCTACATTTCAAAGATTCTCCATGTATAGAAATAATGACATTTAATCATAAAAAGAAGCCTCCATATTGAAGTCATCATACTGCACGTGTATATTCAATCACAAAAGAGCAGTACTTGACCAATTCTGGCCGGTTAATTGCCGATGTTTCTTTTATGACATTATAGCATTCGTGACATCACAATCACTGGAATTAAATCTCAGAACAATGCTAGCTATGTAGCCTCAAGGCAAATGAAATCAGGCCGAAAAGTTGAAACTACTTGACAGTTTCATGTCATTATTTGTCATAAAGTTTGTCTTTGGGAAAAAAAAGAAGATATAATTAAGTATCACTTTTATGATGTGTCTCATGCCTTGAAACAGTCTATCATAATAATAGCAGCATCCCAGACTGTTTTTGTACAGCACACATGGCAGTGCTACAAATATTGATGGTAACAGACCGCCAGTCCACATGGACCTGTATGAATGTGATGGGTTATGGCAATGGCTACTACTGACATTTTTACATGTCATTGACACTCATTTACCATCCAAATTCTCTCCTGATAAAGTTCAGCAGCTGGAAAATTATTTGGCTCATTTTTCACTTTGCTACTGATGATAATGGGCTAAGCAGTATGATAAACAGCCTGGTAGGTTTGCACATGACTGCCTCTTACTGGGTGTTCATCGATTGAAGCCATCCTGACGGGTCATCAGTCTACGGAGAATTACTGGGAGTTTGGACATGTCAAACTTAATTTACATCCGACTTCTACTACAGTTATCAACTTAGAAGCATGTCCAACCAAACACAGCGTCCAGACCCAATGTGGACAGAGATTTACTAAATGAGATGGGTCCAACTAGTTCATCTGACTTTCCATTCTTTTGTTACTACAGGAAAATGTTTATAAAGCTATATACTCAACTTACTGTATAATGAGTATATTGTAAAAAAAAAAGAAGATTTTTAACATAATTCTGTTTTCTGTTTCCATTTTATAACATGACAATACTTCAAAAGGATTTTTTGTTGTTGTACAATATGGCTTCTACTATTGGATGGTTTCTAAAATACCTGTGTTTCATTATGTACTTACGATTTGAAATAACTAGAGACAAACACTGTGTATTACCCCCAATAACATAATGATACTTATTATTATCCCAATCCACTTAATTGGTTAAGTTTGGTTTGGTTTAGTATTGTTTAACGTCCTATTAACAGCTGTGTGCAAGATGCATGAGTATAGTGCATGCGTGTGTGTTTTGGGAGGCTGCAATATGTTCGTGTTTGTCTCCTTGTGATGGTGCGGAACTGTTGCCGACTTTATAGTGCTACCTCAATGAAACATACTGCAAAGATACCCAGCAGGACACCCCACCCGGTCACATTATATTGACAACAGGCAAACCAGTCGTCCCATTCCTAAGTTGCTGAGCGTTAAACCCTTTCAACACTGCAGACCATAATGGACTGACTCATCCAGATCAATGCATGGTAATGTCTACTAAAGTTGCATAGGGGTGAAAGGGTTAAGCAAGAGTAGAAACTACCATTTTTACAGACTCTAGTATGTCTCAGCCAGGGGACAGAACCCAAAGCCTTCCTCACAGGGATGAACGCTCAACTAAAGGCCAAAATTGAGGCATTGTCAAGGGAGACATTAGGAAGAAGAAAGTTGTTGTTGTTATAAAACATACTATATTTAGCAGTTTACCACGTTTGTTTTGAGTGGCAATATACATCCTAGTACCATAGGAAGTTAAGTGTGGACAAAATAATGCCTACAGGCAGAAAACCTGATTCCTGTGGCTTATCTTTGTTGCAGGGTATGAAAAACACAAAACGGTTTGATCAAGTGCCACTCTCACGAGGTGAACTTAATAGTAGCTACAGAGGCTGCTCCCAAGTTATGTCATGAATATATCCAGACTGAGCTAGCATCAAACATACAACAGCAATGAGATCAGCAGAGTTCAAACTGTGCCGAAATGTTTCTGATGGATCTGAAACAAAATGCTCAGGTTGTAATTTGATACACAACATCTATCATTCAGTTAGCAAAAGCATTTAAAAACAAATAAGCGTACAGTAAACATCATTTCTAAAATTTACTTGTGTATGGCTTCCAAGGGAGTTAATACTTAGCATTGGATACTAGCTACACATCGCAGTCTATCTATGTACACTGAGTAGGGTCAGACACTTTTGTGATGCAAAGCCAGGCTAGCATTGGAAATGAAAATTTGAATAAAAAATTAAATCTCAAATCAAATAAAAAATATTTTACTTTTATAATGCCACAATTTTGGCAATGATTAGAAGGAAATGAGACAAAATATAGGGGGAGACAGTAAAAAAAAAGTTAAAAAAAAACAACATTTTGAAATATTGAAACGACTGGTGAAGTAAATGAAGCGTTGAACATGTATGTGAGGGCTAGGATGTAGCCAGACAGGGTTGTAGAGTACAACACCAGAGATAAGTCCTGAGGCTGATACCACACGTATAACACCACATAAAAAAACAGTGTTTTGGCTTATGCCTGCCAACTTAGTTACTTAAAGAATGATACTACACGTAGTTGAAACCTCAAACCCAATCAATATCAGGTGATCAGACAATTTATCAATGTCTGGTAAACTGACAACTTATCATCAATGTCAGACAAAGTGACAATATCCCATCAATGTCAGAAAAAGTGATGATTTACCCTCAATGTCAGACAAAGTGAAGATTTCCCATCAATGTTAGACAATGTGATGATTTTCCATCAACACCCAGTGAATGGACAATTTAGCATCAACATCAGGAGAACTGATGATTTAACATCAACAGCAGGCCTACTGAAATACAACTGTGTTAGATCATCCATGAATAAACTAGGTCAGCAATGCATCCATTCAGGTCAAATTCATATAAAACAAACTGATTACATATAGTAACCACCCTCCTTAATAACCTCAAATAATGACCTCAGGTCCGCATCATAACATCACATAATAACCCTGTAACATAACATCACATAAATACCCTGTAACATAACTTCACATAACCCTGTAACATAACTTCACATAATAACCCTGTAACATCACATAATAACCATGTAACATAACATCACATAATAACCCTGTAACATAACTTCACATAATAACCATGTAACATAACATCACATAAATACCCTGTAACATAACTTCACATAATAACCCTGTAACATAACATCACATAATAACCCTGTAACATAACTTCACATAATAACCCTGTAACATAACATCACATAATAACCCTGTAACATAACTTCACATAATAACCCTGTAACATAACATCACATAATAACCCTGTAACATAACTTCACATAATAACCCTGTAACATAACATCACATAATAACCCTGTAACATAACTTCACATAATAACCCTGTAACATAACATCACATAATAACCCTGTAACATAACTTCACATAATAACCCTGTAACATAACATCACATAATAACCCTGTAACATAACTTCACATAATAACCCTGTAACATAACATCACATAATAACCCTGTAACATAACTTCACATAATAACCCTGTAACATAACATCACATAATAACCCTGTAACATAACTTCACATAATAACCCTGTAACATAACATCACATAATAACCCTGTAACATAACTTCACATAATAACCCTGTAACATAACATCACATAATAACCCTGTAACATAACTTCACATAATAACCCTGCAACATAACTTCACATAATAACCCTGTAACATCACATAAAAACCATGTTACATAACATCACATAATAACCCTGTAACATAACTTCACATAATAACCCTGTAACATAACATCACATAATAACACTGTAACATAACTTCACATAATAACACTGTAACATAACATCACTTAATAACCCTGTAGCATAACTTCACATAATAACCCTGTAACATAACTTCAAAGACTGATTTCATTTACCTGATGAATGTTACACCAAGAAAGCAAATCATATGTCATACATGTAGAGTTAAAATACATATATGTTTCTAGGTTTTTCGTAAGACCTATTTGAAGAGTTTTGACCTTGGAATATCTTGTAGCAATTTCTTGTCTTGTTACAGTTAATCAGTTAATCATATTTTGGCATAGGTATATATCCACAGAAAAAAAATCTCCTAAATACACAATGTTAACTTATCTACACAAGAGGTATACACTCAACTTACCCCAGGAACCACAAATTCATATTCTTTCCTCCACATTAATTGAATTAAATTTGGACTCTGGTTAGGATGCTTTTTCTCTGGTTATGATAAACGCAGTCCCACTAACCTCCGGCTACAGATGTGATAGAGTTACAATGGGGAGGCGCTGGCCAATTTACTCTATCAGCCACCTAGTACATAGACATTACATGATATAGGACATGATTACAGTATCTCTACCTCAAATTATCTTCGCTTTAAACAATATATTAATCATGTCCCTGTGTAAATAAATTTCCCACAAAACATGAAGCAGCTAAAATCATTCTTGGCAGAAACAGGGTAATCTAATAAAAGAATGACATATAAATCAAAACAGGATCTTTTCCATCTGACTGGGAATTTTTTTCTTGACTCTAAGTGGCCGAGACACACTCTTCAGGGTGATGAGCTCATAAATCTCTTTCACTGTCAAAGCCTAGATCAAAATCACCTAATTCAAGTTGAAGTAAACCTAGCCACTGTTAATATCCGTTTTCAGTTACCTCCCCAACTAGCAACTAATCCATTCTCTGTTAGCTGGCAAGCATTAATCCATTGTTATCTGGCCAGAAATAATCCATTTTGTTATCTGGCCAGAATTAATCTATTTTCTGTTATCTGGCCAGCATTAATCCATTCTCTGTTATCTAGCCAGCACTAATCCATTCTCTGTTATCTAGCCAGCACTAATCCCACTACCTGTTTTCAGGTCCCCAAATATCTTGTCGGCCCTAGTCAAGGTAACACCTGTGTCAATGTTACATTGGATATAACACCTTTGTCAATGTTATATTGGATATAACACCTGTGTCAATGTCACTAAGGATATAACAACTGTGTCAATGTCACTAAGGATATAACACCTGTGTCAATGTAACTAAAGATATAACACCACAGTCAATGTAACCAAGGATATAACACCACAGTCAATGTAATCAAGGATATAACACCTGTGTCAATGTAACTAAGGATATAACACATCAGTCAATGTAACCAAGGATATAACACCTGTGTCAATGTAACCCAGGATATAACACCTCAGTCAATGTAACCAAGGATATAACAACTGTGTCAATGTAACTAAAGATATAACACCACAGTCAATGTAACCAAGGATATAACACCTCAGTCAATGTAACCAAGGACATAACACCTTTGTCAATGTAACCAAGGATATAACACCTGTGTCAATGTAACAAAGGATATAACAACTGTGTCAATGTAACCAAGGATATAACACCTATGTCAATGTAATCAAGGATATAACACCTGTGTCAATGTAACTAAGGATATAACACATCAGTCAATGTAACCAAGGATACAGCACCTGTGTCAATGTAACCAAGGATATAACACCAAAGTCAATATAACCAAGGATATAACACCACAGTCAATGTAACCAAGGATACAGCACCTGTGTCAATGTAACAAAGGATATAACACCACAGTCAATATAACCAAGGATATAACACCTGTGTCAATGTAACCAAGGATATAACATATCAGTCAATGTAACCAAGGATATAACACATCAGTCAATGTAACCAAGGAAAGTACGGCTCAGTCAATGTTACCAAGGATATAACACCACAGTCAATGTTACCAAGGACACAGCATCTGTGTCAATGTAACAAAGGATATAACACCACAGTCAATATAACCAAGGATATAACACCTTTGTCAATGTAACCAAGGATATAACACCTGTGTCAATGTTACCAAGGATAAAACACCTATGTCAATGTAACCAAGGATATAACACCTCAGTCAATGTAACCAAGGATATAACACCTCAGTCAATGTTACCAAGGATATAACACCTTTGTCAATGTAACCAAGGATATAACACCTGTGTCAATGTAACCAAGGATAAAATACCTTTGTCAATGTAACAAAGGATATAACACCTGTGTCAATGTAACCAAGAACAATAGCACATCGGTCAATGTAACCAAGGATATAACACCACAGTCAATATAACCAAGGATATAACACCTTTGTCAATGTAACCAAGGATATAACACCACAGTCAATATAACCAAGGATATAACACCTTTGTCAATGTAACCAAGGATATAACACCTGTGTCAATGTTACCAAGGATAAAACACCTATGTCAATGTAACCAAGGATATAACACCTCAGTCAATGTAACCAAGGATATAACACCTCAGTCAATGTTACCAAGGATATAACACCTTTGTCAATGTAACCAAGGATATAACACCTGTGTCAATGTAACCAAGGATAAAATACCTTTGTCAATGTAACAAAGGATATAACACCTGTGTCAATGTAACCAAGAACAATAGCACATCGGTCAATGTAACCAAGGATATAACACCACAGTCAATATAACCAAGGATATAACACCTTTGTCAATGTAACCAAGGATATAACACCACAGTCAATATAACCAAGGATATAACACCTTTGTCAATGTAACCAAGGATATAACACCTGTGTCAATGTTACCAAGGATAAAACACCTATGTCAATGTAACCAAGGATATAACACCTCAGTCAATGTTACCAAGGATATAACACCTTTGTCAATGTAACCAAGGATATAACACCTGTGTCAATGTAACCAAGGATAAAATACCTTTGTCAATGTAACAAAGGATATAACACCTGTGTCAATGTAACCAAGAACAATAGCACATCGGTCAATGTAACCAAGGATATAACACCACAGTCAATATAACCAAGGATATAACACCTTTGTCAATGTAACCAAGGATATAACACCACAGTCAATATAACCAAGGATATAACACCTTTGTCAATGTAACCAAGGATATAACACCTGTGTCAATGTTACCAAGGATAAAACACCTATGTCAATGTAACCAAGGATATAACACCTCAGTCAATGTAACCAAGGATATAACACCTCAGTCAATGTTACCAAGGATATAACACCTGTATCAATGTAACCAAGGATATAACACCTGTGTCAATGTAACCAAGGATAAAATACCTTTGTCAATGTAACAAAGGATATAACACCTTTGTCAATGTAACCAAGGATATAACACCTGTGTCAATGTAACCAAGGATAAAATACCTTTGTCAATGTAACCAAGGATATAACACCTCTGTCAATGTAACCAAGGATATAACACCTTTGTCAATGTAACCAAGGATATAACACCTGTGTCAATGTAACCAAGGATATAACACCTGTATCAATGTTACCAAGGATAAAACGCCTGTGTCAATGTAACTAAGGATATAACACCTAAGTTAGTGTAACAAAGGATATAACACCTATGTCAATGTAACCAAGGATATAACACCTGTGTCAAAGTAACTAAGGACATAACACCTGTGTCAATGTAACCAAGGATATAACACATCAGTCAATGTTACCAAGGATATAACACCTCTAACACCGGAGAAGGACGTAATCTGCCCTTTTAATTGTTCATCTTTGGCAATATGAACAAATAACAGTTGATTTTAAATACAAAAAAAAGTCAAATCAATCTGAATAAAACCTTTTTCAATCTTTATTGATCCTATTTCTGTGCTTTACAACAAACATTTAAACTAATCATATTAAGTGGGATTTATATCCCACAAAACAAAGAAAAAGAGAAGTTTTTCCATGAAATTATCTAGATTCCTAGGGTCTCTATCCATCCTGATCTGTTTGTAAACAAGCCTGGCTGTGATGATCGTACCTGCTGGGTAGGAGGTGATTAGCCTCCAGCTCATCACACTGGTACTGACCTCCTCAGATCTACAACTGAATCAGTGCTTTACTGGGAAATGGTATACTGGGGGTATGTATGCAACCAAGATCTTGAGACTATAGTTTGGGATGCATTTTCATTGGACATTGTGATTGACATTTATGTCTTCATCTAATAGACAAAAAAACATTCTGTTATTTCAATCAAACAGAGAAGCAACAAACCATTATTTTTTGTAATTCTTTCACACATCGCCTGGCACATTAACAAGCCGATGACCTAATTCTTTTTTGCACATCCATTTGTAACAAAATCACATTCTTATCACACAAGTACCATAAATTGACAGTTTTCCAATATATGAACAGGAGTTATATTTCTTGGCAAAATTATCTAAAATCCTTTTTGATGCTAAAACCTTACATAACAGTATACAAAGCATACCTGTATAACAGGTACACCCACTTTTTAATCAACTGACAGAAGGTCTAAGGAGAGTGCTACACAACTAAGAGACCTTTTGAAATGTCACCATTTATGTAAGCTGGTAACATTAAAGTTACTGGTGTACTCAATAAGATACACATACATCACATTACCACTGATCAGTGATGGAACAGGATACTGCTATTATCTCCCTTGGGGATCTTAAGAAAGAAAAACTTTCCTAAAGGTAGCTGTGAAAGCCTTAATTAAAGGCCAACAGCTGCCATCAAAGTACCTTTCTACTTGATTAAACCCAACAGATACATTTCCACCTACCTGTCTGTATAATTCACACATCAGTTTCCAACTGAGGTGGTCAGAATAGGGCCAGACCAATGAGTGACCAGTACCTGAGGCTACACATGTGTATCTGTGACCATCTGGATATGGATGAAAGGTTGGTCAAAGTATTGAATTTCTTGACCACTGTCAGTAAGTTTATCGGTCAGTGATGTGGTCAATAAGGATAGAATCAATAATAATGAAACACTACAGGACCAGTAGGTAAATATTCTGATCTGTGAGATTCAGTGTGATCTGTCCATAGCACTGTATAGTAACAGGACCTGTATGTCTATAGTACTGTATAGTAACAGGACCTGTATGTCTATAGTACTGTATAGTAACAGGACCTGTATGTCTATAGTACTGTATAGTAACAGGACCTGTATGTCTATAGTACTGTATAGTAACAGGACCTGTATGTCTATAGTACTGTATAGTAACAGGACCTGTATGTCTATAGTACTGTATAGTAACAGGACCTGTATGTCTATAGTACTGTATAGTAACAGGACCTGTATGTCTATAGTACTGTATAGTAACAGGACCTGTATGTCTATAGTACTGTATAGTAACAGGACCTGTATGTCTATAGTACTGT